TCGAGTGTCGGCAATAAATATTGATTGCTATATGGACTTGACTCTTTACAAATTCATCTGTTCTGCTGTCTTCATTTCTACGAATTTCAATCACAGCCAAAGAAGTGGCTGCCCGGGGACTGCGTTACGTCCCTGGGAGAATTAGAGGATAGATTGAAGAAATTCAAGAGAAGAAAATGCGGCAAAAAGAGGACCACTTCCCTTTACATTCAAAACGGAATTAATTCCACTTTGTCAAAACCAAACCGAACGAGCCCTACCGAAAATAAAGACCACAAAAGAACACATTCTAGTCTATCAAATGAAACGTAACAGCCTTCTACACCGACGACATCAGAAGATTTTCCCACGGAGACGGGACGCCTCAACGAGGTCGTCGAGGACCATAGACCATTACGACGTCTCTGAAACGCTGGTCAAAAGCGGTCTTGCATAGTCACAGCTAGTGTCTGGGAAGCTATTCACCAGTTATCCGATTGAAGAAATTATGTAGCAGCTTCAGAATGGAGCGATTACGGTAGGCCTCGAGCTCGACGGTGATGGCAGATGACGTCATATTCTGGAGACGGTGAGGGCAGTGAAGGAGGGCTGCTTCTGTTTATGGAGGAACATCTAAGGAATATTTTGCCGTAAAACTTTCATCAACAGCGGCACCCTTTGCGACGAAAAGCTTCATGATGTGTGCTATACGTGACTCTTTTTTGGCCTCCCTGTAGACTCTCAGGATTCCAACTGTTGAAGGAGGCCGTACCCGAAGCAGTTTACATAGGTGGCGATGCTGTGAAATTTAGGAGCTATGTGTAAAGACAGGTGGGGTCCATGACTAGTCTTGATACGTATCGATGTTAGACTCCTTTTTGCGTCCGTTGCCAAAGTAGTCGTTTCAAGGAATAAGCCGTTGATGACGATCCCAACAAACGCGAGGATCGAATCCTATTCGGGGTTTCCGCAAATTTCATCTTGTCGGCGGCTGTGATCGTTGTCTAGCCTGTCTAATTTCCAGAAAACTTTGTAGGGCAACACGAAGACAGCTCGTAACGACATTTACGTATTCAGTCACAACATCCTCACCAGCGCGAAAATAAAACTGACATTCACTAGATTACGGACATATGACATCTCATCCCGAATGCAAGCGCTGAGAGTGTGGTAGTAAGGAAGAAGCTGGGTTGAAATTGAAGGTCGAAGCGAAGTGGCAATGCGGAGAGAAGGAATTGGCTGAAAGGAGGTGAACGATACGCTCACGTTCTTTTGAGCTAGCACATCATAAGAAAGTGAGCGTGTGGGAAGAAAATTTTTATTTCTTGACTAGATAATTAATCTTCGCCACCTTCAATACCATCGGAACAATTGGTGGGTGATCTGACCGGCTCTATCGCTAAAGGAAACAAGTTACATTAGATGGAAGGGACTGCAGCGGCCGCACTCAAGCAGAGCTCCGAGAAATGAAACGGGGATCGCCGCGTTATCAGCCCACCTGTTTTTCATGCCAGAAGCAGGTCTCTGTCTAATGCTGGCTTCCTCGAGAAAGCATGCATACTCAGTGAGTGTTTTACCTCAAAGCTAACAGTCATACTTCAACGTTTTCAGTAAAAAATTTAAGCCTTTACACTGAGCGCGCTTGAGTTCATAGGTTTTTTAAAGGCATATTTTATTCAATCGGCTCACTGACGGATGGAGCAAGATCCAATTGCGTCGGCTTCGATATCGGACGCGCACTCCTTGCAAAGTAAGCGCATCCGTCATCGCGCAGCCAGAGAGTGGACATATATCTGCTGTTCTGCAAATTTAGCCTAGCATCCATCCATCATCCGGACAGATCTGTTTCGCGAGACACACATACCTTTAAGCTTCGGACAGATAGCAAAGAATCTTCCTCGCAGTGCGAGACTTCGTTGCCGAGAACTCAGCAACTGCACATAAGGAGAAGTCGCTTTCTGTCGTAGTGAACCACACCTGACTAGAGAGGACAATGGTGTTCACGTCCACTCCCAGAATCATTTCCCCTCCCTAAGGCTTAGTCCCGAGTTCTATGAGTGGCCCACTCCCTTCAATGTCCCCCTGATGGATATGAGCATCCTGGTATGCTACGTCAGCGCAGCTCCTTATGGTCACGCCAAGATAGCGTAATAACGACTGCCTGTTGCGCCAGTTCCAGTACCTTGCCCCAATCGCATGATATTTGAGGAGTTGTGAAGGCCTGTCGTGAGTCGATTGGGCAGAAATATAGATGAGGAGTTTATAGTGCTGTGCCTAGTGCGGCAGTAAGATTTCTGATAAGCTTGGAGAGAGGATATCGAAAGAAAGGGCTCGAGTGGAGCTAGCGGTAACGCTAGAGTCAGACTTTGTGAATCGAGTTTAGCAATAGATATCCCCCACTACAACTTCCATGTCCTAATTGAGTTGTATTGCGGATCGAAAAGTGTTGAACGGATTATCACCTCTTCTGAGCCCTTACTCTTTCAGTATACAATTCACCAATATCAGAAGAACTAGCTTTTAATCTTTCTGTCAAGCATTTGGTCGAGATTGGCTATCCAGAGGAAGTCCAGGTGATTGAATATTGTCTACATATGTACTTGAAGATGGATATTACGATAAATTGTCGATCGAAGAAGTGAAATATAGTTACTACTTAGAGGGGCGGCGGGCGGAAGTGGTGTAGTGACAAGTGGCGCGCTTACCACGCGAGCGGTCCGGGGATCAAATCCTGGGTCGTGAGTCGCCCGGGCCAACCAAGCCTTCCATCCCTCCGGGGTCGGTTAATTGGTACCAGACTTGTCTGGGAGGATAAAAACACTGACTTGTACATCGGCTGGCCCCCGCAAGTCATTGTATAGGCCACATCGCATTCAAACGCCACTACGAATGTACAAATGGAAGTAGAATGCGTGCCGCATCCCAAAAAGGGATTGATCAACGGCAAATGCTTTATCCTTCATCCCTTACTTAGAGGGGCGGGTTGAAAGAAGCGGACAAAGCGCGTCGTGACGAGTAGGCATCCGTAGCGGTCCGACAGCGCTTAACCCGCTGGTATCTACTCCCTTCAACGGGCTACCACCCGGCCTTGTGACTCGAGCTGTATCGAGAGGCAGAGCGAAGCCTTAACGAATATGACGTCAGCGCAGCGGTGGAACTCGCCTCAAAATGGAAACTTACAGCAAAAACGGAGCCCGGCTCAGGGAATTTAGGCCGTTCCCTCAAGTGGTTAATTCATAGTTGTACCTCTTAGCAGCCTTAATTTCATTCCAGTGGACGTAATCAATTTATGGCACCATCTGTTTTAATTATCTCTTTGATAAGCATGCAATACTAGAAACTCAAATATAAGACCAAATTTGTGGTGCGGAATGCGTGGTTCGACAAAAGATTCGGAAATCTTCTGAAGACCGACGAGCACTGCAACATTTTAACCGCATTTCACGGCCTAAAGAAGTTAGACAAGTGAGTTTCAGGTAGTTAAACGCTGGTATCAGTGATAAACTTTTGCAAGTTTTCATGTGCTTTCTTATTACTCTCTTCGTCATCTTCTCCTAGCTGCTGGCCAACACTTGAAAGAGACCTTTACTGGAGTCCTTAGAAGCCTCAGAACTTCACGCTACGTTTATTGCAAAAGAGTTTTCAACTGTAGAAGGTGAAGTGGAGGATCACCTTTCTGATCTCTCTGATATTTACCACTTTCAGCTCTGTCACCCAAGACAAACTATCCCTGTGTCAACTTCTGGTCGGTATAGAACTTTAAGCTCTATGAAGGAGCTACAGGGCTTTAGGTTTGGGTGAAGCCCTTCTTGGTAAGCAAGCGAGGGGCTCAGCCAATGCAATTTTCAATGGGTGGACGCTTTCTGTTTGCCACGGATTGCCCTGTCCACAACTTCAGTTAAACCTACATCCCTGCTACATATTTGCAATTTAGGTAACCATGATTCTTCTTAGTTGAAGGAGAATTCGAGTAAGTCG